TGCCCAGGTTTCACATATGGCGATAAGACTGGGTCTCTTTTCTATGGCTACCTGCGCAATCTCGTCCATTTTGTTGAACAAGCTGCGAGCGTTGAAGCTCAGGAAATTGAACTTGCTTGGCCCGCAGAAAGAGCGATCGTATGAAATATGATTGCGTAGCATCGTGGGGAGAAAAGATTGTGCGTAAGGATTAAGCATGGGTATTGAAAGAAATGAAAGGACTAGCAAAGTAGTATAGTGACTTACTACTGGCATTGCGAGTCGATTCCTGTTGGCTTGTTCTTTTTCTTCGATTCGATGGAGAGGCCGCTAGCACCATGATGTACTTCCCGGGGGCAGCTTTCTCTTCTTGCGATTCCGTGATCTCATGCCATTATCCTCAGGTCTGTCGGGGGTGACACTCGGGCGCAAACGCTTGGAGTTGCCCAAGTTGACTTCGCCTTCGCATGAATCTAAATTGCAGTCTTGAGCCGGTGGTCGGTGTTGATGGTGGACATTTGTGGTCTGGTTTGATGCTACTGCTTGCCCCAGTGGTTCATGAACTGAGTTGTTTGGCGTAGCACCAAAGTCTTCTGGCTCGGAGGAGCTTGACTGATGGTCATCGTCTGATTCGTTATCAGATTCCTTGCCTTGTTGGTTACCTTGTCGGTTGGCAACTATGTCTGAGAGAAGTACCTCCGCTCGCTCAGACTCGGTGGAGAGAAGGCTGGTGTTGTTTTTGGTTTTATGTTTGGAGGATGAGTCTACAGCTCTGTTGTTGGACGAAGTCTTGGTGGTTAATTTGCTTATTTGAGTCTTTTCCGGGCAGTCCTTGGCGATGTGCCCTGGCTTGTTGCATAGCCTGTATGTGGGTGTTTTATCAGCACGGTACACGCGGAAATTGCTCTTTCCGTCCCGTGATTTCACGTACGATGGTACGGTCTTGTTTGTGCCAAGTTTGAAGGTGGCAAACCTCACTCCTGTCGCAATGAAAACGCCATCCCGGATTTTGAGTCTGCCATGTCGTATAGCACCCTGCACTGTACCGTACTGAGACAGTGCAGCTTCTACGGCTCCATCACTCACCCACACAGGAATGTCATGAATATAAAGCTGGACGTTGGGGGTACCCGCCAAACATTCTGGGGAAGTACAGGTTCCTGCACGAGTATGAGGGCAGTACCCCGGAATCCAGCCCGTGCCGCGATAGCGGCAAGGGCTGGATGAGCAGCGGTACTGACCGAGTATGAGTGACTGGAACGTGTTTCCCGTATGCACCAAAGCCAAGGAGATCACTCACAATCTTTGACGTTTGAGTTTACATGAACCATTCTGTGACTCAACTCGAGTCCTGTATGACTGCTGTGACTCTGTGTGAGCTGAGTGAGATTGACTTCGACAACCGTACACGGACTACAGTACATGACTTTTTGCATGTACTTTCAGACCACAGAAGCTTGTCATTGAAATGGTAGACTCATCATGAGTGGATTCTGTCCACTGCCCGTCGTCAAGTGACGACGGGCAGTGGATTCCGTCCACTGCCCGTCGTCACTTGACGACGGGCAGGGGAACTAGTTCCATCACCATTCATCAGGCAGGATCGCGCTTTCCAGCCCGCGTAATTTGATCTGTCATTGGTAGACTCCAAGGCGACAGTCATGTGACATACGGGAAATATGCCGTTCATTGAGCAGGAAGCCGTTCTTGGCCACCAAAATGGCTAATGAGGATTCCGTAAAGGTTATTTTTTGATTAACTGAGACTGGCTTTATAATCAACTATACCTCCATGACTTTGAAGGTCTGGACATACGGTGTAATTATTTTCCAGCCTACAGTCCATTCATAAAAAGATGGGCCTTGGTTCTTGCGAGCTCCCGTATTTGGCGATTTTTTGTTATTTTATCGTACAAATAAAACACAGTGCAGTGCAGAAAAAATGAAATGTGAAAAGCGGTCAAAAAGGGTGCCTGAAGTGAAATACCCGCAGTAGGGATATCAGCAAACGCACTGTGCAGGCCTCTGCGCATGCATTGCGTCATCGATTTTTTGAACGTGATCGCGGCCGACAGAGAAAAGATGGCAGCGGTCTGTTTGCACCGCTGGGAGTCGTAAAATTACTGTTCTTCTGTCCCCGCGACCATTCAAATCATACGCGATACGGAGGACCCACGTACTCACCACGTTCTCCCGGATCGATTGCTCTAAAATTTTGAACATCGTGAAACACCAGTATCAGAGGTGTTTAGTCCAATTTTCAAGGGATTTCCCTGGTTGGATCATTCCAAAATCAGACTTCCATTTCTCCCTCGCGGCCATTTCTTGCACAATGGAAGCGCCCTGCCCTGGTGAGTAACCAGCGTCGTGCTTGGTAGAGAGTTGCTGCAATCAGCTCCCTGCTGTCTTCGCTGCTATTGTCAGAAGCGATGGACCATGAATTTGTTTGAGAGTCTCTGGATGCTACTATTCCTCAGCCTAGTTTTCAGCCATTCCGTGCATCTTCTTCGCACGATTTATTTTGCAAAAAAATGAAAGTGTTCATGAGTTTTCTTGTCGGCCGCGCGTAGATGGGCCAGGCTTACCTGCGCAGATGGACTGCGCAGTGCGTTTGCTGATATCCCTGCCCGCAGAGTGCACAGTCGCAGGTTTGGTCAAACGGCCTGGATTTTGACGGCTTTTCCCAATTCAGTGCTCTTGGGGCAAAACCTGTGCAAAATCCTATTCTTGTTAGGGCTTGCTTGCTGTCTAGAAAAGTAGACTTCAGAAACATAGTTGGAAGAGGATTCCAATTGAGATTGCAGAAATTTTCTGAAAAAACTCTAAGTTTGACCCATTTATGGCCAAAAGCTAGCAGTCCATCTTGTTATGAATAGACTGTAATGTACTTCCTCCGTTAAGCAAAACTTCGTTGCGTTTTTAGTGTTCTTGTCATGGTATTTCTGTCGGCATTAGACATACATGTCAGTGATCTATCACCGACATAGAGTAGCTGAGTTGTCGTCCATTGTCCTGACAGGCTGTTGAACCTCTGAAAAGCGTGGAGTCCTTTGAAAAATCGGCGAAGCAGAACCGTTTCTCGATAGGATGTCACCAGAACACAACCCCAGGCGTGCGCGCATGACACAAAGTGCGAAAATGAGAAACAGTTTGAAAGATCGCGTGGCCCGAAGAAGTGTCCTGGAGCCGGCCAGCACTCAGGCACTGCTGTACGAGTACTAGCACGTGGCGATGGTGCGCATCCGCACACAACCAAAATCAATTCACTTGTGTTTGCAGCGCAGGGGAAATCAAAAGCGTTCGACATTCAGGTTGTCGTTCAGTGGGCGCAAAATCCTGATCTCAACGTCGACGACTTGGCGTTCTTCCACTGCCTGTAGACAGACGTGTCACTCGTGGCGAAGGAAACCAGAAAAGAGCTTCTGCAGAGTGTGGAAACGTGCTGGCACGACACACCGCTGCGAAAATGGCGAGCATTTGTTTGTGTCTGTATGGCTCCTTCCATGGCGGTCACCGGAGAGTGGCCACAACTATCAGCGCCACCGTGGAGGTCATCAAGGTCACAGTTCGAGCGAAGAACTTGGCGATCTCCACGATCAAAATAATCGTGTCTTGGAAACTTGTACAGGCTGCAGACAAAAGCTGGCAGCGCTGGCGGCTACAGTCAGCGAGGATGCAGACTCGATGTCATCAGGGAGTGAGTTGTCATTAAATTCAGACGAACAGTGAAGCTGGACTGCTTTGAAACGAGCTGTGTGACATCTGTAAATAAATATCACTCATATGCTGCCTTGTTTTCCACTTTGCAAAGCTTGTTCGTAGCCATAGATTGATTTGGACAGAACTGTAAAAACGCAACGAAGTTTTGCTTAACGGAGGAAGTAATTGATACCAACAAATAAGACAGACAGAGGAAGCACATTGACAAGCTCAATGTTGTTCGTCAGTCTCAACCAGCAGCACATGATCAGTGTAGATTGCAATGATGCACTCATCTTACTACAGTGCTCTGAGAAAATCTATGTACAGTATATCACAACATGAGTATGTCATATCCGTTTATCTGCACAGCTTGCTAATAGCACAAGTCACTCAGCTGCTGATCGCGCTGCTGTCGAACCTGTTGCGGCGGATGCTGCCGACCCTATTGATTCAGTGCATATCAGACTAGATGTGCTGCAGACCTGGTGTCGCAAGAGTAGATCTGATGTGCGGTATCGCGATGCGGCTGCTGATGATGGCAGGATGGCTTTCAGCATTTTTAGACCCTCCACAAAGCGTAGCTTGTACAGGAAACAGATCCCTGCTACAGTGGATAGGTTGTTGAGGCTTGGAAGGCATGACCTGTCTACAATTATGTGTAGGGCATGGCGCTGTATGTCAGTGAAGCAGACCGAGGTGGTAGAGGCCGAGCTCAACCATACCAGCATGCCATACTCTAACACAGGACACACAAAGCCATGTTATACGATTGCCAGGTGCTTTGGATCTAGCACAGCCAATGCTTTATGAAAGAAGCCAAGCAGCTGAGCTCCGCGCACTGCAAGCTGTGGAATGTGGGTGTAGAATGCCAGCTGCCTTGTGAAAGTAAGCCAAAGAAGCTTGAGTTCCTCCACTTCTGGCATGACTGCTCCTTGGAGTTGGGAGGGTTTGGGGAGCGGTGATGGCTGATGGTCAATTCCGGTGACTTTGTGTGCTCCAACTTGACCCTCCATCTGCTTCTCCATGCTGCCAACGAGGCCATTGCCTGCTGGAGGATTGCTGTTTCTTCCTCCAGTCGGTGTCAGGTGGTGATGCACTTTTTGATGGTGGTCGCGTTTGGCTTGGTGCAAAAGTAAAACGTTGCTCAACTTCTGCAAAAGTGACCTTGCGACTGCTTGCGACGATATGCCACAGGCAGTTTCTTTTTGCAAGTGTCGTATGTCGCATGTCACGTGGCAGAAAGTGAAATTAGTGAAGGGCCTTTGAACTAAGAAATACCAACATGCTCATAATACTTTCACTCAACAGATGCACGCTTACCGTCACAAGTGAAGCCGTCTCCCTTGTATCCGGTGATGCATTTACACGTAAAACTTCCAATTGTGTTCGTGCATTCGGATCCTGTTCCTTTACACTGAGTCAAACACTCGTCAACATCTGAAAAGAATGGAAAAAGTCAATTTCTACATCCGACAAAGAGCGAGTAGGAACACAAGAAAGCAAGTTTTCTGACATGAAAAAATCTACTTTTTCACATGCTGCATGTCAGTCCCTTTAAAGCCATGGCCTTATAGTCGAAGCACCGCTGCTTTCCTGGCTATTTCAGACGTAAAATGACGCACCCACTACCCCATGCAATAAAATTCAATGTCAAAACAGAAATTTCAATCTAAATTGGATAAAAAGAAATGACAAAATGTTACGAGTTATGACTAACTGTTCACCACAGTCTCAGTTTGTGGAATGTCTCAGTACTCCTTCTCAGTGTGTCATTTTGACGCAATCGCTGACTGAATATGATCTGGATACGCTGGTGGACAGTTATTCATAACCCGTAACATTTTTAAATAGCAATGAAAAATATCAATTGTGCACTCATAACCATGTCTAAACAATTAAAATGAAACAATTCCAGAACGTTTTCGTGTGACCATCATCAGTGGAACATCGTCACATAGTAAGAATCACTAAAACAACCAGTTATATAGCTAGAGTAATATGAAAAGAAGCGTGAGAATGCAGCACAGCTAGCGGTTATGCATAACGCGTGTAGTGTGAACCTTTGCAGTGTATCTGAGAATGGTAGCAGTAGATGAATGTGGCAGCTGTGAGTGCGTGTGAACAAAAACTGGTGAGTGCGTATTATTTAAAAAGTGTGAGTGCTACAACATTTTCTTTTTGCTTGCATAGAACAGGGTCACGTGTGCGAATATATACAGCTTCCAACACCTGCAACTGCATAAAGAAACGCGCGCGACAAATAACACTAAACCAGGAATCATCAAACAACTTACGACAATCCGGACTGGACACCAAATGCTTCTAGATGGCAGACTTGCTCTTGTCGATGTCGAACTCCTCCTCGTCCGTATCACTCTCATCCTCCACTTCCTGTTCTTGTTCCTGTTCTTGCTGTCAAAAGCGGCCAGGGCAGGCAGGCCAAAGCGTGGGAGGCCTCGAAAACACCCGTTGCCTACTACTACGCCTGTCAGTATTACAACACAACCAGAAACGGATACAACACCGGACTCAACAGTAGCGCAACACACGAATCTGGTGTCACTCTTGACGACAACAACACGGCATGGGAGACCACCGGACGATCGTTCGTTAACAAACCCGACGGCAGTAACGGAGAGATCACCAGGAGAACAAAATGAAAATGGAGGAAAAACGAATCTGAGGAGAAGCCAGAGACTAGCGGAGACACGACTGAGAAAAATGGAGAAGGCGGAACCAGTAGTGGCAGGTGAAAGTACGGGCGCAGCAGTGAACACGTCAAGGAGAAAGAAGCGATGGCATGAGGAGATGGAGATGGAGGATGATGATGGGGATGAACAGGATGGTCAGGAGGAAAGCAAGGGTGAGCAGGAACAGGAAGTGGAGGATGAGAGTGATACGGACGAGGAGGAGTTCGACATCGACAAGAGCAAGTCTGCCATCTACAAGCATTTGGTGTCCAGTCCGGATTGTCGTAAGTTGTTTGATGATTCCTGGTTTAGTGTTATTTGTCGCGCGCGTTTCTTTAAGCAGTTGCAGGTGTTGGAAGCTGTATATATTCGCACACGTGACCCTGTTCTATGCAAGCAAAAAGAAAATGTTGTAGCAATCACACTTTTTAAATAATACGCACTCACCAGTTTTTGTTCACACGCACTCACAGCTGCCACATTCATCTACTGCTACCATTCTCAGATACACTGCAAAGGTTCACACTACACGCGTTATGCATAACCGCTAGCTGTGCTGCATTCTCACGCTTCTTTTCATATTACTCTAGCTATATAACTGGTTGTTTTAGTGATTCTTACTATGTGACGATGTTCCACTGATGATGGTCACACGAAAACGTTCTGGAATTGTTTCATTTTAATTGTTTATACATGGTTATGAGTGCACAATTGATATTTTTCATGGCGATTTTACGACTGTTGTCTTCTCGTCGGTTATTTAAATACCGTAACATTTTGTCCTTTATTTTGATCATAAATTCACTTGTTCACCATTCCAGCTGGGCTGTAAGTTTCTTACTATAGTACTTTTCCCGCCATTTTTACAAAACATACTTTGAATGTCATTTCATGTATGAAGCCTATGGCTCTATTAACCCTTTGCATGCTGAGCCACCTTTCTCCAATCCACTGGCTTTCCAGCGCACTGACTCTCTTGGTCGAGTATGCACTCACAGCTCCGAACGAAATTTATTCTGATTCCACTCCATCTTGATAGATTTTCATCGTCCTGGGCTCGTTGGAAAGATCAGGACCAAACGAATCCATCCTGGCAGCTCTCCGCTCCATAGACACCTCAGGGCCACCTCCATGTCCTGTCCAAACTACTCCACCGTGCCTCGGAACGGCACAACAACTCGATTTCACATTCTTGTTCGGCTTTTTGCCCAAATTCAACAGATTTTCACAATTCAAACTGCGCTGCAAAGCTCAGATCCAATTGATCCAAGCGCTTCATTTAATTTCCAGCACACATGCGCCGTGCCAAAGGGAAATCCCCTGGCAAACTCCTCAATAAACAGAAGTCATGAACAAAAATATTCGCGTTCACTCTGGGCCGTGATTTCCGTGTTTATCTTGTCCCCGCGCAATGAATTCTTATCCTATCGCGAAGAACTTTATATCTGCGGAAAGATGAGGTGAAGACCTTTCCAACGGTGTATTGATTGTCGCGATGCGTTTATTTTCGGAAAGATGAGGTGAAGAACATTCCAACGGTGTATTGATTGTCGCGATGCGTTTATTTTCCGAGAGATGAGGTGAAGACCTTTCCAACGGTGTATTGATTGTCGCGATGCGTTTATTTTTGACGAAGTTACAAAAGTTTGTACACTGGTCTATGCACTGCGATATATCGCGCGTTTATTTTTGCGAGTTTACTCGTACTTAGTGGATCAGGTCATGCATAAAGTGCGAGTTAACTCGTACTCAGCACGCAAAGGGTCAACTGAGACTGACTTTATAATCAACTATACCTCCATGACTTTGAAGGTCTGGACATACGGTGTAATTATTTTTCCAGCCTACAGTCCATTCATAAAAAGATGGGCCTTGGTTCTTGCGAGCTCCCGTATTTGGCGATTTTTCATAATTTTATCGTACACATAAAACACAGTGCAGTGCAGAAAAAATAAATGTGAAAAGGGGTCCAAAGAAGGGTACCTGAAGTGGGATTCATACCCGCAGAATGCACAGTCGCAAGTTGGGTCAAACGGCCTGGATTTTGACGGCTTTTCCTGTTGCGGCGGATGTTGCCCATCCTATTGATTCAGTACATATCAGACTGGTGTGTAGTTGCTGCTGATGTTCGAAATCTTTTATTCTCACGATGGCCTGTGGCCAATAATAGAAAAATAATTACAGTCACGGGGATCAGATACAGAGAGATCAAAGTTTAGCTGCTTGCTGAGGCAGTCGCGATGGCAATAGGGAGTTTATCACATAGGCTGGGCGCAATGGAGCTATAGATGTGCTGAGCAATGTGAGCAAGTACATACGGAAGAAATGACAAGTGGTAGGGTGTTTGCTTTGAAATCTCGTCTGGGGTTAATATGCCGGAGGCTGAGTAGTATGCTATTAAAGAGATCAAGAGAAGCATAGATGGGGGAGTCCCTTAGCCAGTTTGTACGTGTTGTGGGTAGCTCAAAGGTACGGGGGAACCTGAGCATGCGAATGGGTTGTATTCGGGGTAGGTGAATTGCAAGAAGGTGTGGTGGTGCATATCTATGATGCAGGCTATGTGCAAGAAGGATATGGAAGAGGGTACGGCGGTTGCTGAGTGATGGCCATTTGAGTCGGTGCAGCAGCACGGAGTGGGTTCTGTGCTCAAAGAGGGGGAGATGCAAACAGAGGCGAGCGGTGCGCCGTTGGACGCGTTCAAATTGATGTTGCCCATCCTATTGATTCAGTACATATCAGACTGGTGTGTAGTTGCTTTCTGATGTTGCCACTGCACTTGCTACACTATTGCTGGTGGCCCTGTGCTGGCATCAAGACTTGGTGGACGCAAGATTCACTAACCCGCACTTGAACCTACTTCTTGTGACAAGCCAGAGCAAGGGGTTGCAGCGCCAGTGTATCATCTTCTCCCACAATGGTATCAAGAAGATGTTAACAATTTGCTACCCGAACTGTGTGGAGAGTCTAGACTAGATATGAGAAGTCTTGATATTTCGGTTTTTGCAATTCCTCACTTTACCTTTAAGTATCCCACTAAATCCTGTATAGTGTAAATATCATTGTTTTTTGCTTCTCTGAACCTCATAGACCTCTGAGATGAGCCGGACAGAAATCAATACACTGTACTGAATTTTGAGAACCGTTTGACCGTTTTTGACGGGGGTGGGAGGGGGGGGGGGGAGGGAGTGTCAAATGCATGCACGTTAAAGACATTTAAAAGAGTTGCACGCTTACCAATGCAGTTGGTACCATTAAACCTGTATCCCATGTTACATGTACATGTAAAACTTCCAATATTGTTATTGCATTGAGAAATACTGCTGTCGGAGCACTTGGTCGAACACTCATCCACGTCTGTAGCAAAAAGAAAGAATGATTTTCTTAGAAGAACAGGCAAGCTAATAAGGACGTTTAGCAACGCGAAAGTTCGAAAGAAAATTCGAGTCTGGGAATGAGTACAGAAACAAAGGCCGAGACTTCGAAAACTTGGACGCGAAGTTGCAGTGATTTGCGAAAGTAACTTTCTCTTTTCTCAGTACGCATTTCACTACGGGGAGTAGTAATTTTACAGCCCTCTGCTTGAGACTGACCTGCATATACGGTATGGTACTATAAGATTCAAATAACTTCGAGAAAAAGTCGTTTCGCATTGCTAAACCTCACAAGTTTTCTTTCTCGAAATAAATTTTCGCGTAATATCGCCACCACCAAAAGTACGAATTTTTGCATTACTAAACGTCCCTAATGAATGGTGGCCAACGCAATATTGTCCAACTGCTGCGGAAATCCGGCTTAGGGTGAAAAGCACTTTATTCCCGTAGCTGTGCAGAAGACGTTACTTCAGTAACGTCTGGCGCTAGCCAGGGTCCACACAGCTTTAATTCCCGTAGCTATGCAGAAGACGTTACTTCAGTAACGTCTGGCGCTAGCCAGGGTCCACACAGCTTTAATTTGGTATTTGTGTGTTTGTTTGTTTGTATGTGTGTTTGTGTCATGCCTGGCGCTATCCCGTATCTGTCCCGTACCGTACCGTACCATCAAACACAGCTGGCCACATACAGCTGGCCGCAATATTCAAATAGGGCTTTCAAACGCAAGATCATAACGTGAAGCAACTTAGAAGAATGAGCATGAATGCGAAGTGTATGGGGAATGCACGTAGGGCGATAGTGCGGGTTCGAATCCCAGGATATGCCTGAAAAAATAGGAGAATTGAAAATATTATAACATCCCTACGCTTTTTCTGCCGTCATCAAGTGGGTAGACGGTGTCGTATTACCCTCGATCGTACCTGTCCCGTACCTATCCCGTACCATACCATCAAAGACGGCTGGCCACAATGCATATTCAAATAGGGCTTTCAAATGCAAGATCATAACGTGAAGCAACTTGGAAGAATTAGTATGTACTCAGTATGCGAAGTGTATCGGGGGATGCATGCAGGGCCCGCGATAGTGCAGGTTCGAATCCCAGATTATGTCTTTAAAAAAAGGAAATTTTTAAAGAATTTATAACATCCCTATGTTTTTTTGTCTAGGTCATCAAGGCAAAAAAGCATAGCGTAGGGCCCTGAGCTTCCAAGCTCTCTCATTCCCGTAGCTATGCAGAAGACGTTACTTCAGTAACGTCTGGCGCTAGCCAGGGTCCACACAGCTTTAATTTGGTGTTTGTTTGTTTGTTTGTTTGTGTGTTTGTGTCACGCCTGGAGCTACCGTATCTGTCCCGTATCTGTGATTTGGTGTTTGTTTGTTTGTGTGTTTGTGTCACGTCTGGAGCTACCGTATCTGTCCCGTACCTGTGACTACAAAGGCTCTACAGGATTGTACATAACAGCTGGCCACAATATCTGCCTGCTCCCGTATCTGTCCCGTAGCTGGCCACAAACAGCTGGCCACAATATTCGTCGTATTATGTATATGAATCCCTGATGTAGAGGGAGATTTGGAAAGAAATAGGGAGACGAGAAGGAAATAAAATAAGAATGGACGCTAGTTGCGGAATAGGTGATAGGATGCGTCAGCAAAAACATACTTTAGAAGAGAGATCCCGTCGTCTCCAAAATAAGCGTGAGTGGGCGATTCAGCACCGGTCACAGGAAACGTCGGAAGAGAGATCCCGTCGAGTCCAGAACGCCCGTGATCGGCAGAGTCAGCGCCTTTAATTTAGTGTTTGTTTGTTTGTGTGTTTGTGTCACGCCTGAAGATACCGTATCTGTCCCATATCTGTCCCGTATCTGTAATTTGGTGTTTGTTTGTTTGTTTGTGTGTTTGTGTCACGCCTGGAGCTACCGTACCTGCCCCGTATCTGTGACTACAAAGGCTCTACAGGATTGTGCATAACAGCTGGCCACAATATCTGCCTACTCCCGTATTTGCCTCGTAGCTGGCCACAAACAGCTGGCCACAATATTCGTCGTATTATGTATACGACTCCCTGATGTAGAGGGAGATTTGGAAAGAAATAGGGAGACGAGGTTGACGTAAAATTAGAATGGACGCTAGTTGAGGAATAGGTGATAGGATGCGTCAGCAAAAACATACTTTGGAAGAGAGATCCCGTCGTCTCCAAAATAAGCGTGAACGAGCGATTCAGCGCCGGTCACAGAATACGTCGGAAGAGAGATCCTGTCGACTTCAGAACGCCCGTGATCGGCAGAGTCAGCGCCGATCCCAGGAAACGTCGGGACAGACGCAGAATCGACTCAAAAATAAACGTGAACGAGCGATTCAGCGCCGGTCACAGGAAACGTCAGAAGAGAGATCCCGTCGAGTCCAGAACGGCTGTGAATTTATAACATCCCTATGTTTTTTTGTCTAGGTCATCAAGGCAAAAAAGCATAGCGTAGGGCCCTGAGCTTCCAAGCTCTCTCATTCCCGTAGCTATGCAGAAGACGTTACTTCAGTAACGTCTGGCGCTAGCCAGGGTCCACACAGATTTAATTTGGTGTTTGTTTGTTTGTTTGTGTGTTTGTGTCACGCCTGGAGCTACCGTATCTGTCCCGTATCTGTCCCGTATCTGTGATTTGGTGTTTGTTTTTTGTTTGTTTGTGTGTTTGTGTCACGTCTGGAGCTACCGTATCTGTCCCGTACCTGTGACTACAAAGGCTCTACAGATTGTACATAACAGCTGGCCACAATATCTGCCTGCTCCCGTATCTGTCCCGTAGCTGGCCACAAACACCTGGCCACAATATTCGTCTTATTATGTACACGAATCCCTGATGTAGAGGGAGATTTGGAAAGAAATAGGGAGACGAGAAGGAAATAAAATAAGAATCGACGCTAGTTGCGGAATCGGTGATAGGATGCGTCAGCAAAAACATACTTTGGAAGAGAGATCCCGTCGTCTCCAAAATAAGCGTGAGTGGGCGATCTAGCGCTGGTCACAGGAAACGTCGGAAGAGAGATCCCGTCGAGTCCAGAACGCCCGTGATCGGCAGAGTCAGCGCCTTTAATTTGGTGTTTGTTTGTTTGTTTGTCTGTTTGTGTCACGCCCGAAGATACCGTATCTGTCCTGTATCTGTCCCGTATCTGTAATTTTGGTGTTTGTTTGTTTGTTTGTGTGTTTGTGTCACGCCTGGAGCTACCGTACCTGCCCCGTATCTGTGACTACAAAGGCTCTACAGGATTGTGCATAACAGCTGGCCACAACATCTGCCTGCTCCCGTATCTGCCTCGTAGCTGGCCACAAACAGCTGGCCACAATATTCGTCGTATTATGTATACGACTCCCTGATGTAGAGGGAGATTTGGAAAGAAATGGGGAGACGAGGTTGACATAAAATTAGAATGGACGCTAGTTGAGGAATAGGTGATAGGATGCGTCAGCAAAAACATACTTTGGAAGAGAGATCCCGTCGTCTCCAAAATAAGCGTGAACAGGCGATTCAGCGCCGGTCACAGGAAACGTCGGAAGAGAGATCCTGTCGACTCCAGAACGCCCGTGATCGGCAGAGTCAGTGCCGGTCCCAGGAAACGTCGGGACAGACGCAGAATCGACTCAAAAATAAGCGTGAACGAGCGATTCAGCGCCGGTAACAGGAAACGTCGGAAGAGAGATCCCGTCGAATCCAGAACGGCTGTGATCGGCAGAGTCAGCGCCGGTAACAGGAAACGTCAGGACAGACGCAGAATCGACTCAAAAATAAGCGTTAACGGGTGATCCAGCGCCGGTCACAGTAAACGTCGGAAGAGAGATCCCGTCGAGTGCCGATCGCCTGTGATCGGCAGAGTCAGCGCCGGTCACAGGAAACGTCGGGCGCCACAAATGCAAGAAATGAGCATAGGAGACTTAATCGTGCTGATTCGCGTCATGCTACTGCAGCTGCGCACATGAAAACTGTGCGGTCTATGGTAGAGGAACAAAATCATGCAATGGTGTCCTCTTCGACGCGTGAAGAGCGCCATCAGTATAGCCACCTATTGCAATCTTGGAGGGAAGATAACGTTGACGTAGCTCTGCTTTCCTTTTATGCTGCTTCAGGTAATGGTCATGGACTGTCTCGGACAGTACCTGATACTTCTGTGAGAGAAGAACTGGCATCCATTATTCCAGCACCAGTTTCTACAGCCCTGCTAGCTGATGGTCTGGAAGCGTTCCAAGCGGGGTATAATTAAAGGGGAAGTTCACCCTAAAATCAAAATCAGATATGTTATTGGGAAAAATCAGCTGAGTCGATTGGTGTATGTCTCGTCTTCATCCGGTGACTATAACCATAGATATACGCAACTGAAATATCACTTTGATCCCCCGTTTTTGGCGCCGCCATGGCGTCACGAATCTGTGACGTCAAAGAGATAGAGGAGCTCCTGGAGCTCGGAACTTTTACTTGGAGTTGGACGGAGAACTTGGAAAGTGAAGTCGTGAATGTCCAAGGCGGAAAGTCAAGCAGTATGAGGCTCAGAGCGGAGACGATTCAGGGTAGGTCTACCTCCTTGTCAGGAGATGACAGTGACTCCGAGGAGAGCGAGTTGGACGCCAGCGAAGGAACCGGAGTAAACCGAGGATGAGATCATGCAGATGGCGAGTGCGGAGCAAGTTGGTGTAAATGCTGACGAAACTGCAGCGGCTGCTGACGACACTGACCCTGCTGCTTGCTTAGAGGACTGCTGGCCACCTGCCGATCGCGTTGGCAATACGTCCTGGTGTGAATGTGGCAAATGCGTCGTTCAATTATTGCGGAACGACTGCATTTGCTGCAAAGATGTTCCGGAATCGGAAGCCGCGGATTGGTTACTGAGTCTGGCTGCATTACTTGCACCTCACAGTTCGAGGAAGGCTGCAGCAACCAGCACACACTGTACATTGTACTGCGTGGCTATTTGGGCAAGATCCATCA